TTTTAAAAAAAAAAAAAAAAAAAAAAAAAAAAAAAAAAAAAAAAAAAAAAAAAAAAAAAGAAAGAAAGGACATGGCAGGACGTAAGCACCCTTGTTAATGGTGCAACTGGGGCTATTGCAAGTCACCCAAGAGCATAAAATGGCTCTGGTGGTGTAGCCCTTACACAGAAAGAAAAACAGTCAACTGATCTGCAATCTGAGACTTTACAATTCATGCTGACTCTGGTGAAGCTCAGGTGAAATGAACTGTTGAGGTTGAAGACCCACTGACATGTACAATTTAGAGAAATAGAGCACATTCAGTAGGAGCATGTGCATATCTTCAAATGTGCCTTTCAGAAGACCTCAGGGAAGCAAGACATTTCTTCAGTCCTTTACTTCAACTCGGGTGCCTTCTTCCAGCCTTGCTGTTATAGACCATCATGGCCAATTCGATAGTGCCTACACAGGAGTAGTCCAACTCCATTTGTGACAAGAGGAGCTGCTGTCTGGCCAATCTGCTTCAAGCGCTGTCTCAGTTGAGCTGGTACTCAACACATAATTATGCAGGGGAGAGAAACATGGTGGCAGGAAGGGAGTGAGCCGCCCGCGCCCCGTGCTGGCAGGATCCCAGAGGCCACCAGCAAGAAAAGGAACTCAGAAAGCCTGATGGTGAGTCAGAATCTCTGGTGTCCTTGCTTGCACCGGGGGCAGCTGTTACTAACCAGGTGGATTGCTCTGAAGGATTGCTGAGACCTTGAAGGGGACTCTCATAATACGTGCACTGAGGTTTGGAGTGTGTGCCATTTTGTGAAATTTACAAAATCCACCCGGGAAGAAGCTGCCGGGAGCGGCTGCCACTCGGCACCTGACCTCACAGCTGCTGCCCTCAGCACCAGGCCAGGCCGCGCAGCCCCACTGCCGGGACTCGGGGTCTGGCGACTGTGGTATCTGCCGGGGAGGGGGCTGTCACCTCCCCAGCCCCGGGCGCCACTGGAACCATGAGCCGGACAGAGTCTGAGCAGGCTGCGGCGCGACCAGGAGCTGGGAGCGCCAGGGGCAGCGAGAGGCGGCCAGGGCAGCTCTGGCTGTGGAGGCTACTGCGGGAGCGCAACACGGGAGCGCAACGTGGGAGCTGAGACTCATCGGAGGGAGCAGCGCAAACGCCCCGCCATCTTCCCGGTAGTCAATTTTGGACTTGCCTGACACTAGCGTCCAACTGAGTAGGCACTGAGGTTGCCATACCAAATTGGCAACCCCAGCAACATCTTAGTCAGGCAACAGTGTCAAACCTGTGCACTGTGAAACCCCCTGCCACAATGAATAAACATCAAAGAAAAGACACCAGAAACACGAAAAATCAAGAAAGTACACCACCCAAAGATAATAAATCTCAAGCTCTAGATCCTATAGAACAAGAAGCCCTTGAAATGA